TATAGTATATACTATATATACATAATAGTATACTCATTTGCTGAAAATAAATATTAAATTTGTTTTAAAACCATTCTTTGGTAGACATATAATTTTACCATTTATTGGCATGATGAAATAGTGTGGTTAATGATAAATACAAAGACCATGACTAACATGTGACCTATTCAAAATGATCTGGAAAGACTTAATTGAAAGATAATTGAACTAAGACAAATAAGGAATAGTTAACTAGACAGGGAGAGATAAAAGTATAGATCCCCGAGCTCCAGTAAGTGCTGTCTGGTTTATAAGTTAGCAGGATCAGGCTGAGGAAACAAATAAGAGGAGCAGCTTTCTTTGATGTTTAGTTTTTGTCAACATTTAGAAGCTATTAAAGGTTTTTAAATGATTTATGTATTGTTTGGGAATGAGGATAGTGGGCCATCTGATAAAATTGCTATTTAAAAGAAAAAAAATTAATAATTTTACCATTTATTTAAAATGAAAGCAAATTTGCAGACTAAGGAGATTTATGTGTTTATTTTCACATAAAGAATTAAATCTTGGCTGAATATTTAATAATATAAAACACAGAGTATCCTCAACATTTCTTAAAGCTTATTTGTAGTTTTTTAAATATTTTTTTTATTTTATGTGTATGAGTGTATTGCCTGCATGTATGTGAGTGCACCCATATTGTGCAATGCCACGGAGGTCTGAAGAGGGCATCAGATTCCCCTGGAACTGGAGTAAAGGATAGTTCGTAGCCCCCATATAGGTGCTTAGAATCGAACTCAGGTCCTCTGCAAGAGCAGTCATTGCTCTTAACCACTGAGCCATCTCTCCAGCCCCCTGAGTTTATTTATATTTTAAATTCCTTATCACAAGTGCTGAGAGTGCTGTAGTGTAGTACAAAATAGCAGAAGTATGTTTAGAGCCATTTCAGAAATTGTTGGAAATTCCAGCCTAGTCCAAAGCCAAAATTCATTTAGCACTTTTTTATAAAACTTAAGTCAGCAACTCAAACAACTTTTAATATCAAATATTCTCACACAATACAATATGAAAGTTATACTAATTTGATACTTATTTGCTAAAGAATGAAAATAGGAAAATATTTTGTCTTTATATTCCATAATTAAGTTATTATGTATCTATAACAGCAGAAAACTTAGTATCTACAGTGAAAACACTGTACTTAATAACACACAATGATCAGGAAGGTGATCCAGGAAGCACTCATTGGAGCTGAGTGACGTGTTGCCATGCGCAGTGCACAGTACTCATGCTGTGTTCAGAACCAAGGCTGCAAGGTCATGTGATGCAATATGGGTGTGCACTGCCAGAAACATCTGGAATTCTTTCATTAAACTAATTCATTATGAAGTAATTTTTGGTCATTGAATATTCAGAAAGTTTTTTACTGTTGCCAGATTTTACAGCCCCTCATTCAGTTCACGACCCCAAGTGTTGTCCTGACCCATAGCTTTGTTAGGGTCCGTGACTCAGTGGGTCTCTTCTGGAGAACAATTTCACGAATATGGAGATGCAAGAATCAAACAGAGTTTTATTAAACCAGCTAGCTGGGGTCGACTGTCCTTTCCCAAAACACGCAGGTCTGGTTAGAACAATCGACCCTGAGACAATTTTAGGTAAAGATTATATAGGCTTCCACAACCGTTACACAAAAGCCCGTGTTTATACAGCCAATTGTTTCAAAGCAAGCATTTCACAAACCAATAACTTTAAAACAAGAAAATGTTACAGCTCCCTTCAGGTGTCTCAATTGGGGAGAGATGATTGGTATGTGCCTGGTATGACTCTTTCTTTTTATCTTGTGTAAGCAGACATGACATGACACAGAACAGGTCAGGCTCCGGGGGTTGTAGCACTTTGCCTCTATCTCCGGATGCCTGTGTCTCTAGTTGAGTTAATTGGTTACAAGCAGTAAATTTAAACAAGTAAGTTCAAGCAGTAAATTCAGGCAAGCAGTATATTCAAACAAACAGTAAATTCCTCTTCCCCTAACATTTAGTAAATTCAAGCAGTAAATTCAGGCAAGCAGTATATTCAAACAAACAGTAAATTCCTCTTTCCCTAACAGCTTAAGAAACTATGACCCAGAATGAGGGAACTAGATTCCTCTCCACTCCCGACTCATCTGCCACTGGAATCTGTCTCAGCAAAACCCACAGTGGGGTTGGAGGCTTCAGAGAGCCATGGGGTTGTCCTGCCTGTAGGCTGCCTGTATCTTTACCTGGGCCACCTGGCTTACCTTCTGCATCAGGCTTTGTCTTCCTGGTCCACTCTCCCTGCCGGGGAGCCTCAAGGCTAGACCATTGTTAGCTTGGCTTCTTTTCAGTGTCCCACCCATTTTTCCTCTGACTTTTCACGTGTCCTGTCACTGCCTACGTGAAGCTCTTCCTCTTTTTCTTTCTTTGGAACTGAGGTGGGGTTTTTTTGTTTTCTTTTTCTTTTTCTGACTCTTCCCCCCCCCTCCCCGCCCGACAGGGTCACATGGAGACAGCATCTGCTTGAACTTCTTAACCAGAAGTCCTCAAGACTTTTTGTCTGTTTGTACAAAAACAAAGACAAAAAACAACTTCAAGTATTGGCCATCCTTTTCTGATGTATTGACTTCATGGGTGATTGAGAAATAACTGAAAATTAAATAAATTGGGTAGTTAAAAATGAAGTTGTTTACAAATAAATATGACAGAGACAACATGTTGGGTTATTTGTAAGAAAGTTAAAATGCTAAAATACTAGTTGCTACAGGTAAATTTGAGTAGTCTTAGCTTCTTAAAAATCTATAATATATAATATATGTAATTTTATTAAATGTGCTTAATAAATTATTGGTGTATAAAAACAATTTCATGGCTACCTCTCTGATCCTGGGAGGCAGTCCAGAGGTTTGATTTCCCACCTCCCAATAAACCGCTGTCCCCCATGGGAAGAAAAAAAAAATTTCATTGCTTCTCAGATTGCTTTCTTCCTGGATCTTCACTAAAATGTAAGCTTACTGAACACTCTAGTTAATGTGTCCCTCAAAGTGTCCCTATTCGCCAGTGTGACTAGAATTATCTAGAAATAAGCTTTGTCAGAACAGTCTTTCTTTGTAGGACATCAAACTCTTCTATATTGAAGCAGTCTTGCATAACCAGGGTTCTGAACCGGCTCCATCAGAGGCTGTTCCTTAAGTGAGATGATCTCACATTCACAGGGAAACATAGAGTTAGTGGGTAGATTTCCCTCAGTGCTAACTTTTCTTCCAAGAAATCTCATTATGCCTTTGGCTCTTAATGCTATTTTTCTGTACTCGGTATGTCAAATGCCACCTGTGTAGCAGATGTAACTTTAGTAAAAAAACCACATTGCAGTAAATCACCAAAAGACATCTGATCCTTTAGTAAGTTTCAGATCCTTTAGTAAGTCCTAGAGGGACAATAAGCATTTAGAAATAAAGACTTTAAAGTACATTTTCATCTAGTATAAATCAATGAGTTGGGAAGGATAGGCTTCCTACAATAAAAAATAAATTTATTTACGTTTATATCTTTCATATTAATAAGTATTAAACACATAACAACAAACCTTCTGAAACTTGAACATGAAACTTTAAGAGGATTGAAGGTTTATTATTTATTTATTTATTTATTTATTTATTTATTTTGTGTGTATGAGTATGTGTGTTATTTTGTGTGTTATGCCTGCATGTAAGTGCACCCATGCCATGCAGTGCCTGAGGAGGACAGAAGAGGTTGTCAGATCTCCTGGAACTGGAGTTACAGACTGTTGTTAGGAACTATGTGGGTGCTGGGATTCAAACCCCAGTCCTCTGCAAGAACAGCCAGTGGTCTTAACCACTGAGCCATCTCTCCAACCCCAGTTCATTGTTTTTTTAATATTGTATTTATTTTTTTTAAATATTTATTGTAAGCTGGCCGTGGTGGCTCACACCTTCAATCCCAGCACTCAGGAGGCAGAGGCAGGGGGATCTCTGTAAGTTCAAGTCCAGCCTGGTCTACATAGTGAGTTCCAGGACAGCTGGGGCTATAGGGAGACCCTGTCTCAAAAAGACCAAAAAAAATTATTGAGAATTTCACACATGCACATAAGGTGTTTTGATCAAATCCATGACCACTCCCTCCCCTCCAACTCTTCCCATATCTCCCCATCACTTTTTTCTGATAATTTCATGTACTCTTCTATTTTTTAATGAGGCTTTTTGCTACTCTAACATTCCCCCCTCTAAAGAGGTAACCCTAAAATCTTTTAAGGATTATATAAAAGCTCCTGATGGATGAATCGGGTCAATCGGGAGCAAGCACCAGGACACAGATAAAACTCCCGGTAGAATAGAGTTTATTAGCAGAGGAAATTCGCAGTGGACAATTCCCTTCCGGATAGGGAAATTGTCAGCCCACAGGTTGTGGGCTGGGGTCTTTATGGTGGGGGCGGGGGGCTTTGGGGGATGCAGAAAGCCAGAAGATTGTTTTTTAATTGGGTGGGAGAGTAGGAGCCCCAGGCTTATCAGAACAGCTTCTGTTAAAACTGCCCCCCTCTGTCCCCTTTTATTAGCAAGGATCTGGGTCAAAAGGTGTCTGTTTATCCTTTAAGATCATCAAAGAGGAAGCATGCTGTGCTGAAGTGACTCCTTAGTAATCAGGTCTTGGGTCAAAAGGTGGAGTCTGTTTATCTTGTCTTCCAAGATCATCAAAGGGAAAGCATGCTGCCTTTGATCAAAAGGTGCAGAGAGTCTGCTTCTCTTGTCTTCAAAGACCAAGGTGCTCGTTAACTCAGTTTCTGCATTCTCAGGGGCTTGCAAAACCATGAGGCCCTGCTGGGGAGGGGGCTGCTGCAGATCAGAACCCTAACAGCTCCCAAATACTTTTAACATTTTTGGCCTTTGGAAGGGAGTATGTTGCTAAGAGGCCCAAGGACAGTTTCTTATTTATTATT